CCCTATGGGGCAGTTCTTCTCTATTACATGGGGTCACTATGAGCTGAGAACAACTCTACGCCCCAACAATAATAACATTCTTTGTTAGGAATTTTACATATCCTTTAAAATGTGCTGATATTTTCATGTCGATAGTTACTATTCCTGTTTATAGCTATAGTTAAATCATTCCCAAACTTTGCTGCATATTAGAGTTATCTGAGGAGCTTTTAAGGCGCCCTAGAGGTGCCATGCTTAAGCCCTCAGCTCCTAACCTAAATGTTGGCGGTTCAAACCTACCAGCCACTCCATAGGAGAAAGATGTGGTAGTCTGCTTCCCTAAGATTATAGCCTTGGAAACCCAAGGGGGCAGTTCTACTCTGTCCTATAGGGTCACTATGTGTCAGAATCGACTCAGAAGCAATGAGTTTTCCCTAGACCTATTATTTTAAGTGAGTCATATTTTCAATGTAAGGATTTTCAGGAATGCACGTATCATGCTGTAGTAGAAATGCTTGTATTACTATTTTTGGTTTCGAAAATAGAAGTAATGTAAACAGTCATAAAAGCATATATAAGTATTTTAATAATATGCATTATCCTTTATAAACCAAAACAGTGGGCCTCCTGGTAGACTGGTTTTCCCGACCTTCAAGGTAAAGTATATGCCAGTGTAAATCTAACCAGTGTGTTCTGTGGCCTCACCACTGGCTAGTGAGTAACGTGTCACGTTTAGAGTTCTAGAGATAGGCTCTACTGCTTTATTAACAAGCAGGCAGTCCTGTCTTTTCCTGGGTCTCTCTACTCTTGCTTTCCTTTTGATTCACCCACCACTGTCACCCTACACCCATGATTTGCTGTCTGCCCCATGGCCTTTCTTAGGCGTTGTCTTTAAATACATTTCTTCTGCCTTTCCATTCCTACTGCTACAAATCAGAAACTCTCACCTGCTAGCGTTCCTATCTCCACTAGATAATTGATGTTATTAATTTTCCTGAAGTGCATTTGTACTTTTTCCTCAACTCCCAGTTTAAGTCTTAGCCTTTTTGTAAAACCTCCCAAGATTCTAACACATATCTATCGTCCCCTTCCTTCACTTAAAACGTGTATCTCTCAATTTGTCCAACCAGAAAATAAGGCTGTGAACAAAATATCGTAGCGGAACAAGCTTTAGGACCAAGGAGAAGACTACCTGTGCCACAGTCTATGTCTCCAAATGATAATAGCTAATATTTATTGAGTGCTTATTATATTCCAGGCAGTGTTTTAAGAGCTTTGCAAGAATTAATTTTAGCCTCCCAATAGTCTGATGATGTAAATACCATCATTTTTCCATTTTACAGATGAGGAAACTGAAGCACAGAAAGGTTAAGTAAACTGCTCAGTTATACAGAATCCAAATCCTAACAGGCTAGCTCTGGAGTCAGTGATCTTAGTCATTACCCTATACACTTCTCATTTAAAGTCGGTTAAATATTTTTTCCCATCTCTTAAAAATGGAGTTTTACATACTTGTTTTTATTACCACAAAAGGTATATAAAAGAACATATGAAAAATACTTTGTAACTTATACTATTAAATGAACTAAGATTTCCATATCAACTACTTTTAATTATAATTTGTGATATCTATTATTTATTCTGTACACTAATTATTTTATAATTACAATTAAAATTCAGTTATTTAGGAATTTTGCTATAAAGAAAGACCACGTTTATGTTCTTTTCTGCCTAGGAGAACCCTAAATAGATCTATTCAACATATATTGCACCTTTGGAACTTTTAGGAATATAAATCACTTAAAAATAAAGGTAAATAAAAGTTCCCATCACATTGGGTTAAAAGTGACATTATTTTAATTTCCAAATTACTACTGTGGCTGTTTTCCATTCACAGGGAAGTGTAAATTTAATTTCCTTAGATTCTAGTACGAGTCTGATTCTTAAGATTAAAGAAAGAAAACACCGTCCCTTCAGAATACAAAGGGAGATGAACTATTCCCTGATTCTCGGGGGATCATCAAGGTCCTTCTTCAACAGTCCTGCCAGAGAGAGGTTCTTTCTACATATATATTGGTTTCTACTAATAGAAAAGTCAACTCCAGTTATGTCAGATATCTGAGGAACTCTTTCCAACCCTTTCCCATCTCTTTTCTGCCCTATTCTTGGTAAGTCTTGAACTGTGTTGTTCTAGAAAACTGTGTGCAATTGGATTACTAAAGGTGGGGGCGGAGGGAGGCTCATGACTAGGTTGGGAGATATGTAAAATACTGTTTTTGTTGTTAGGTGTCCTGGAGTTGCTTCCAACTCATAGAGACCCTATGTACAACAGAGCGAAACAGTGTCCGGTCCTGCGCCATTCTCACGATTGTTGTTATGCTTGAGCCCATTGTTGCAGCCACTGTGTCAATCCATCTCATTGAGGGTCTTCCTCTTTTTGCTGACTTTCTAGTAAAATACTAGGCCAGTCTTAAATGAACTAAATGTAAAAGAAAAGTTTAGATTGAGAACTAATGGAATAAAACGATCTATTCCAAGCATACTTTAGTTGACTCCTATCAGTGACAGACTATCATTTAAATGAGCAGCCTTTTGAGAGATTTTGGTTTGAATTAAATCGAAGGCCTCATTGTATCCCTTCTTAAATTTTTATTTGTCAGATGTTTATAAATATCATTTTCTTCTGTTGGAGCTTTAACCTTTAAGTTAATTCTCCTTTGTTGTTGTTAGATACCGTCAAGTTGGTTCTGACTCATAGCGACCCTATAGGACAAAGCAGAACTGCCCCATAGGGTTTCCAAGGAGTAGCTGATGGATTTGAACTGTTGACCTTTTGGTTAGCAGCTGACGTCTGAACCACTACACGGCCAGGGCTCCTAATTTTCCTTTAGGCGGCGCTAAACTCTCTAAGTCCCATGCACTTCCAAAGTCATAAGGTTAATTTAGATAAAACATACATGCACCGTTTGCATCTATATGTAACTCATTTGTAAAGTCTTAATAAATGCACGTTTCTTTACCTATAGGCTCTCTCTCCACATCTGTGATCTTTAGGGACTAAAGAAAATGTAGCAGGTATAAGACGCGTAAAAAATTTTCAAACCATCTCTTATTTATCTGGCATATTAATTTAATGGAAACTACACAAGGTCATAGACTTATAATGTAACGTATTTACTATTAAATTAGTTCTATAAGTTACTATATGGTGCTAATAAACATCAAAACATAAGCACACTCCAAGGGATGAAAAGTTCCATGCATTATTCATTTTAAAAAGGTGGTGTGTAGTTTATTTTTGAAAAACTCCTTAATAATAATACCTCATTTCTTTTAATTCAATGCCTAACATTTGCAAATCACACAATATCTTCATTTTTCATTTATGGAAGATACTTTTTTTTTTCCCCTAGAAATTACAGGGATATTCACTATGTAATTCCTGACTGTATGTGGTTTCAAACAGGTCAGAATAAGTTTCAGTTAATAAAATATTAACCATTTGGAAATGATCTGTAGGTAATTTTGTGGGTATGCTCTAATGAAAACAGATGCTTCACTTTCCAGAGGAAAATTGCTGACTTTGCAAGAGTTATTTGAAACCCACAGTTCTTCAGTTAACAAATCACAAGCCTAACTGAAATCAAAAAGCTATTCCGTGAAAAGGGGAAATAGCTCCCACTGGTGTTTTGTGAACAGTTCCTTTTCTAATTTCAAGCCCTTTTAAGAGTTAGAGCACCGCAGTAAAATAAAATGGAAAGAATGATGTTTCCCAGTATTATCCAGAAATATTAAAAATGGTAGCTGTGGAAGGATCTAACATCATCACTAAAGAACCCTGGTAATGCAGTGGGTAAGCGCTCAACTTCGGAAAGGTAAGGTGAACCGTTGCTCTGAGGGAGAAAGATGGGGCAGTAAGACGTGGCAGTCTGCAGATGTGGAAGGAACACACGAGCCACAGGAGAAACGGGGTTGTCTGCTTCTACAAAGATTTACAGCCTCAGAAGCCCTATGGGGGCAGTTCTACTCTGTCCTATAGGGTCGCTATGAGTCGGAACTGACTCCACAGGAACGGGTTTTTATGCAGTGTTAATAAACATTGTCAAAACATAAGCACACTCCAAAGAATGAAAAGCTCCGTGCATTATTCATTTTCAAAAGGTGGCGTATGGTATATTTTTGAAAAGGTATTTAATAATGATACCTCATAATAGTGAGGCAACTGAGGTGCAGAAGAGCTGAAGTGACTTGTATAAGGACACACAATTCAGTAGCAGAAGCCAGGACTCGAACCTAGTCTGGTACACATTTTTTAAATAATAAGCCTCTTCTCTTGACCAATCTTTTCATTAGCAGTGCTGATTTGACTTTTATTTACCCATTTTACCCTGAGGACAGGGAGACCTCCTGGCTTGCTAGAAGCTTGAGCATCTATTTTCTATGGGTTGCTCACACACCTTCACCTGTTTGGATTCAGTTTGTTAAAGCGAATAACGACGTCTCCATTGGAGCTCTTAGAGGCAAATACAGAATATGCAAACATGCTTTTTCTTCTTGTGTTCTCCAGAGATGTATGTTACGGCTCCAACGTGCGCAACTTTGACTTGGTCCATTTAGCTTTTCTTTCTTTTCTTTATATTCATTTTCAGCCCGTGCTGCAGAAATCGGCTAGGGATCCCAATTCCCCGTACCCACATTTCTTAAGAGAAAAGCACTTACCTAGCTTCTTCACTTGCACTCAAAACACCGTATTTCGTTTCCTCCCGCCCTCCCTGTCTTTTCTAATACTTTTTCCTAGTAACTTCTACCACTTTGCCTTTCACTCCTTCCGCTCTGTGTTTAGGAAATTCGCTCTCCCACCTTCTCTCTCTTACGCCTCCTACATGCAGCTACTTCCTTTTTTCCAACTCCAGTTTGCTTTTGTCTCCCGTGACTTCCGGGATCGCTGCCCGGAAGAACCGCGGAAACACACTGCGCACGCGCACCAGTCCGTCAAGCTTCCTGCTGTCAGTTGTGGCGGCTCAGCTCGTCTCCGTTTCTGACCCACAGTATCTAGGGCGGCGGCAACTCTCGCGGTATTTGCTGTCGTCAGTGGGCGCCAGCCGCGGCCAGTTGGTGGCGGGCGTTTTTGGCTTCCTTTGTTGTTGGCGGTGTCGTGTTCCCTGGAGTTCCTGTGCCAAACATCATGACGTCCGCTTTGGAGAACTACATCAACCGTATCCTCGGGAGGACCGCCGCGGCGAGGCACGTGTCCGCACCGGCGCGGTTTCGGGGCTTGAGAGGCCGGGGGTCGGGATTTGTGGTCGGTTGGGACGCCCAGTCACTGCGGGGCCACGGGTGCGGGTGAAGGAGATAAGGACCCGCGACCGGCCATTCCTGCGCTGGGGCTTGAGCCTGCCGGTCCTGCAGCGAGCCCAAGGTGTATTTTAATTCTGGCCTAAAATAAAATAAACCCAATGTAATTATCCCGAACTTTTCTCTGTCTCTATAGAATTAAGCTATTGATTCATCCTTACTATTCCCCCAGGGCCCACACTTTCAAGTTTGAAAATAAGATGAGCAGTTGTTATAGCGGCGACGATGGTCTTGTAAATCTATGTACTTGTTTTAGTCACAGGCATGCTCATTGTTGGGATAGCAGAAGTTTAAAGATGGTCCACAAATTGAATTTCTGCTCCTTTACCACTTGAAGCCTCATCTTCCTTGTTGATAGCATGAAAACAATGCTTGCTTTTTCAATGGATTGTCGTAAGGGTCTGAAACTCTTACCAGATAAAAATGTTACCGTTTTAAAGTCTCAGGATAGAAAAACAGCACATCGTGCATTCATGTACACATTGTGAACTAAAGTTAAATACTGAAGATTTTTAATGATGCAAGCATATTGGTATCTTATGACACTGGTTATAGCGTCCTTTGTATTCCAGAAATCAGGTCCTGGAAGACAGTGTCTTAACATGCTTGAAATTGATTGATTTAGCAGTCATCCAATTTTTTTCTAGAAATGAAGGAATAGGCCTAAGAAAGTGGAGAATGTCTTGTTCAAAATCACAGTTTCCCAGTAAAAACAGTACCAAATATTCCAGCTGTTTTGAGATAGGATATACTCATCACATAGAGAAAGGGATTTTATTTTACTGTTTTTTTTTAATTGTGTAGTTATTTCAAAGACAGGACTGAAGAAGTTAGAAATTTTAAGTCCCTGTGTTGTGAATGTAATGGCCATGTTGAATAGTTTCTCAAATTGGTCATCCTTTTCTTAGTAATTTGAACTGTTCTTATACCAGATTCTAAGTTTTCAGTTAGCATTCCCTAAGAAATGCTTTCCTTGATTCAGTTATCAGGAACTGTTGCTGTTATTACGTCTGATGGAAGAATGATTGTGGTAAGTATCCAGCATTTTCATTCTCTGCCTTGTAAACTATTGGTAGTAAAATAATATTTATGTGGAACCTCTGATCTCTAATGCCTGAGAACCACAGTACACCTGCATTGCAGTTTTCTTATGCTTGAACTCTTGTCCTGATCGCTTTGATAAATAGCTACTGACCCATATTTTCTTCATTAATAAACACTGAGTGTGTATTACCTACTAGCTTCTGCTAGGATCTAGGATGAATAGATTTCTTCCCATCAGGGAGCTTCTAGTCTAGTCTACAGATGTCTATCTGTATCTTACGCTTACATATTTAACTTGCCCTTGCCCTTTTTTATTTCCTTCCCGTTCAGAGCTTGGACAGCTGCCATATGAATCATAAATTTTTTGAAATTTTGTGTATACTTCTTAGAAAGAAATTGCTCTTTTTTGACTTAGATACTACATATATATAGCATAATGAACATTTAAGGTTTGTTATTTATGTAGCCTATGAATATTCCTAGGTTATATGACCTCTCTTTTCTGTAGGACAGTGTATGATGATTGACTAATTTATTTCATCTTATTTATCCTTTTGTCACAATATTGTCGTTAGGTGCCGTGGAGTCGATTTTTGACTCATAGTGACCCCATGTGACAGAGCAGAACTGCCCCATAGGGTTTAATCTTTATGGAAGCAGCTTGCCAGGTCTTTCTCCTGCAGAGCCGCTGGGTGGGTTAGGACCACCAACTTTTTGGTTAGCAGCCAAGCACTTAACTGTTGTGGCACCAGGGCTCCTTTTTGTCATAGTAGCCTCTTTTAATTCTAGAAAAATCTTGGATTCTCTCCTTGATCTGATCCTTGAAAAACACTTCTCAGTTGCTAATTTGACTCAGATAACAAAAGATATAACTTTCTTATGGCTGATAATTATTTTTGGAATTTGATATGACGAATTTATCCCATGATTTTGGCTACTTAATTATTTTATTTTCATTTATAATTCATACTGTGTTTGCTTTCAAAAAGTAAGGCTGCTAACTTTTCTCTAAGGAGTCCTGGTGGCACAGTGGTTAGGCAGGTGCCTGCTAACTGAAAGCTTGGTGGTTCAAACCCCCCAGCCACTCTGGGAGAAAGATGTGGCAATCTGATTCTATAAATATTACGGCCTTGGAAACCCTATGGGGCAGTTCTACTCTGCCCTGTAGGGTCTCTATGAATTCGAATCCACTAGACTGCAACGGATTTGGGTTCGGTTTAACCTTTTCTAATTTTCTTCGTATTTTTTAATCCTTTATTTTCCCATTCTGCAGTTTTGTTTGTGTTTCTCTGTGTAATCCTCATGATTTTTTCTCAGGTTAACTGACTGTCACTAGTCAAAGTGCTACACGTTGCGACTTATTAAATGTAGGCACTTTACATGTGTTGCATTATTTAATCTTCAGTATAACCCTGTGAAGAATTATTACTCCTTTATGCTAGGTTAGAAACCAAGCTGAGAAAAGGTAAGTCACTTTCCCAGAGTCACACAGATAGTAAGTGGTAGAATCAAACTGGGATTTAAATTGGGTCTGACTCGAAGCCAATGCCAGTTGCCATGTTTTCTTCTTTATCAAGGGAACAATCCTGGTTTTTTTAGGCACCTTACATTGTATTTTGTCAAATAAAGGCCCCTTGAAGTATTTTAATCTCATCATAGCCCTTCAGGAAACGTATTGCAATTAACAAATATTTACAGTTAATTTTTCATTTTGTGAAAACCTCAAGTTTAACTGTTCCTGGTTTTGTTAACAAAGTAGACAATAAATTAGAAAATTATTTTAATTTTATAGAAAGAAAGCTATAAAGAGCATCTTAAGTACTAAAGTTCAGTTGTTCTGTATTTAACACATGGTTTACTTGATGGAATAGTTAGGAGTAAAACCAAACCAAGAAGTTATGTATGGGTGTTTGTGATATTTATGATAACACTTATTTGCCAGCTAAACCAAAAAAACCAAACCCGTTGCCATCAAGTCAATTCCGACTCATAGCGACCGTATAGAACTGCCCCATGGGGTTTGTAAGGCGCTGCTGGTGGATTCGGATTTAAACTGCCGACCTTTTGGTTAATAGTCGAGCTCTTAACTGCTGTGCCACCAGGGCTCCATTTGCTAACTAGTATAGTTAAATACTCCATATTTTGTTTCCCTACCACATTCTAGGTTATCATTTTCTCTTTATTTCGTTTTGATTTTATATATTTTGATTTTTGGAATATGAAATAGTTTAATAGTGAGGTTAAGAGATTTAACCAAACAAAACGAATGTAACTTAATGTTTCTTCAGAAACTTGAATAGCATATGAATTACTCTGTTGTGCAAGGCCCATGTCTTCCTCTATTCACAACCAGCCTTCTTCCATAAAACTTTTCCCGATTATTTCCATCAAGTTCTGGTTCTAATTATTATAGTCATTAGAATTTACCTTACTTGGTTATTGGGAGGATTATAAGTAAATACATGTGAGGCACGTAGAACACTGGCATATAGCAAATACTCATTATTTACCACCAATTGTAATTTGTATGTGTTTATGGGACTGATTTTGAATCTCTGACAAATGGGAAATTATATTTGCATGTTTATAGCAATATAATGGTTCAGTGATCTTAGTGGTTCAGATCCTAGCTTTGCTGCTTACTCCCTGTAAGACCCTGAGAGATTATTTAACCTCTCTATGCCTCAGTTTTCCTTCTCTGAAATGGGGATAACTACATATCTACCTCAAAGGGCAGAGATTAGTTGAGATAGTGAACACAGTGTGTTTAGCCCAGTGCCTAGTACAGAGCATGCAATGATGCTGTCACTTTGCGGTAGCTGGTATGTGTTAGTCCCTCGTTTATATATTTATATATCCTTTACCCTTAAATTTTACTTGTTTTAGTGTGTGTCCTTAGAATGTTAGCTCCTGGACTACACGGGCATTTACTCTACTTCCTTTGAAAATGATCACACCAGTACGCAGTGTCCTTCGTGAACTCTCAATAGCTCTACATGTCAGTCATATGTGTGGTGTAGTCCCCCCCCTTTCCAACCAAGAGGTGGGTTTTGTGCCCTCTTGGTTATAAAGAAGATATTTATTTTACAGTGGGTATATATTTAAAATGGATATTTTTATTGGGTTGCCTGACAAATAAAATGGTTGTATGGTTGAATTTTATACATTCAGATAAACCAGAATATTTCTTTTTCTCTTGGATGTTTTCTTCACAGGGAACTCTGAAAGGTTTTGACCAGACCATTAATTTGATTTTGGATGAAAGTCATGAACGAGTATTCAGCTCTTCACAGGGAGTAGAACAAGTGGTATTAGGATTATACATCGTAAGAGGTGACAATGTGTAAGTAAAATACACCCTTTTAAGGCCGGTTAAAATTATACTGTAGGTGTATTGCCTTGCTATATGCAGAAGTTTTTGGAGAATAACAGTCCTTCATCCATACATAGTTTATAGAATCATGTATTCATTTGTATTGTAAATATGATTTTTCTTATATTGTATTTGCTTAAAGTAAGGCAGTGCTATACATTTTGTGTTAATATTCTTTAAGAGCCAACCAAAGTCATCTCTTTATTGACTGAGATGCGTCTGTATTTCTAATAGTTAAGTGGCCTGGATAGAGTCCAGAATGGTCCCGCCTTCTACCAAATACTTCATTGGAGAGACTTCTTAAAATGTTCTTCCGGAATACCACTAATATCAGAGGAACATAAATATACCTCTGGAATCCAAGGATAGAATTTGAAAAACGTCTTTGCAATCTCATTTGAACAATCTTAAATAATTCGTGCTGTATAACATAAATGAGTATGTATCCATTATTTGTGTTTTAAAAAAAATTTTTTTTGTTATGTGCCATGTTCATCCTGTGGCTCAATTAACTCCAGTTTGAGAAAATATATTTTAGTGGTAGCAAAATATATGCAACAAACAAAATATGCAACTGTATAGAGCAGTGCCGTCCAATAGAACTTTCTGTGATGGTGGAAATGCTCTATATTTGCACTGCCCAATACAGTAGCTACTAGCCATGTGTCGCTGTTCAGTACTTGAAAAGCGGCTGGTTTTGGTTTGACTGAGGAACTGAATTTTCAAATTTATTTATTTGTAACTAATTTTAGTAGTCATGAATAGCTAGTAGCTACTATATTAGACAGTGCTGGAATAGAGGCTAGAAGAATTTTGAATACATTTTCTAGTGAGTATTGTATAGAATCAAAATTTGGCTGAATGGCAGCAAAAGATATATTAACAATCTCAGATTATTTTGGGGAACAAGTAGGATGTAGAAAATGAAGGAATATTTCATTCAGTTAAGTTGCTTATCTTAAAATCACCTGTAGATTTAGGATGAATAAATTATTTGATTTTAAGTCAGAATCAGAGGCTTATAAGCTATTTTATAGAAATGACTTTTAGGTGAAGTTATGAGGTGAGCTGTAAGAAGTGAAAAGGAGGCAAAAGCAAATTACCATTTGCCTCATACCTCCTGGTGTCTTGGATCCAACTTGTACTGACTCACAAGAGCTGATAGTTAAATTTTTAGGAATTTTGCAAGCTGGTTGATGTGTTGTTGCTAGCTTGAAATTGACCATGGTGGGAGTAGAGTATCTGCACCATGGAAATCAGTAAATGCCACAAATCAGCCTTCCCCTTTTCGTGTGGAGAGCCGGTTGTTAAACCTTTACCACTCCACTGCCTACCATAAGAATTTTAAATGATACTAAAATTTTAAGAGCGGAACCAAGGTCTTTAACTTGTTTTGCATTGAGGAAAAAAAAGAATATATTCTGCTAGAGTTTGGTACTTACAACTTATTAAAGAACTGAAGGCTTTGTATAGTTTAAGGCAAATTGGACAAATTCTGAATTACACGTTATTTCCCCGTAGAGTTACTCTCATTAAAATCAAACAACTTAAACTTAACAAGCAACGAGCAATTTTTTATGGAATAATGTTTCATAGATGTCCTGTGTTCTGGATGATAACATTGACTATATTCAGCTAGAGGGCCATGGGTTGGTTACCAAGCATGGTATTAATGAAATTAGTGTTATGGATGTTACAAATATGTGGGCAGTGAATCCAGGAAAAATTTCCTGGTCTAACTTTAGCCAGTCACACCAAAAATCATTTGTTAGATACCAGTGTAACTGTTGCTACTATTTTCTTTGTATATGAAGAATTGTGCTTTTTGGTCTTGGATTTAAATTATAGAAACTGAGAAATGATTAAAAGGAAACTAATAGATAGTAAATCATTTATCATTGATGAATTTAGTTCATCAAAGTTACGCAAATAATAGACACTTTTACTTGCTGCTTATTTTAGTAGTTTGTGATTTTTTTTTCTTTTTTCAGTATAGTCTCAGAATTGAATTTATATCATAGGTTTGGAAGTTTTGAGTTTTTGTACCATATCTCGTATGTATCTTTTTTCTTTAAAGACTCATGATCCACTGATTATTTGCAATCTGTCCTTTAATATTGGTTCCTGTAATTGAGTTTTGTGATTAAATGTGCAATTTACTCCCTCAGGAAAATATTTATTTTCTTCTGTAAATAGTTCTCTCAGTTTAATTGGACATTTTGGAAGAATAGTACTATTTCCATTTCATTAGTAAGATTTTTGAAACGTGAACTTATTTCAGAAATGAGATTGTTTTTAATTCTTGATTTTTTTTTTCCTCTATAAATGATTACAGTGCAGTCATTGGAGAAATTGATGAAGAGACAGATTCTGCGCTTGATTTGGGGAATATTCGAGCAGAACCTCTAAACTCAGTAGCACACTGAGGAAAAACTGCGTTCATTGGACATCTGTAAATCTTTGTACAGAAACTGGTTATTCTGAGGAAGATGTGCAGAATTTTTATGAATGTGTAATTGTGGATTTTGACTCATTGATTCATTGTGATATGCTGTAAATTAAAATATTTCTACATTTTATTGAAAAAAATTTCTTTTTTTTGGCTTAAATCATAGATTTGGTAGCCTGATACTATTTTTCTATTAAGTAGTGTGAGAATCTAATGATTATTTATGAAAGTTTTAGAAGAAATCAGTACTTCCTGATATTTTAATATTTATGGAAAACTCATTTAAAGGAGAAATGTGTGTTATATAAATCAAGCATACAGGTAACATCAATGGTACAGTACCTTTCCCTGATTCTTAAGAATTAAGTTATAGGAAGGTGAATCATATCTTCCCCAGTTACCTGGACCACCAGCATTTATTGTACTGCTCTGGTGGTGGTTTGCTGGTGCCTTTTAGAGTTGCCCCCTAGCACTTAGAGGTGTGAGTAAAAATGTGTTTAGTTGAGAAAAGCAAAAATACTAATGAAATTGTAATGGAATGGGGCAAAAATGAGGACTTGAATGTTAACGATCACTAGGAAAGGTAGGATTGATGGGTAAGATATTGGTGAAAATCTTTGGAAGAAAGAAGTAGTTCTATCATAAAATTGTTTTTGGACTCACCCAGATAAATCAGGGATGATCTCCACACTATTTCAAGGCCCTTAACCTTAATCACCGCTGCGAAAGTCTCTTCTGCCACATAAGGTAACATGTTCACAGGTTTGGGGATTAGGGCTTGAACATCCTTGTGGGGCAGTCGATCGTCCTGCCACATCCACTGGTGTCCTTTTTCTGTTTCAGGACCCTGTTCAGAATCCCGCATTGTATTTTGTTATGTTTGAATCTCCTCCAATCTGTGACAGTACCTCAGGCTTTCCTTGTTTTTCGTGACCTTGACACTTTTGAAGGGTAGTGTTCAGTTATTTTGTAGTGTCTCCAATTATTTTAGAGAGGAAATAATACAAACATAAGACTGGGTTTTATGAAGAGTATATTTGAAAAATTGTAAGTGCTAGTCTAGCTTTTAATTTTTAAAAATTGGGGAATTTCTAGTACTAAAGGAATTTCTTGTATATAAATGTGAATAATAAACCTAAGTTTATATTGAGGCAGCTCTTGTCATTGTCATCAACTTCCTGTAGCTCGTTAGTTCCATCAACTTGATTGCAAAAGAAGTAAAGTTGGTTTTGCATGAGTATCAGGCCTATTCATTGTTGATTATGTGAGTGAATCAATTAGGGTGTGATATCCAGGTTAGTGTAAAAAATTTTTACCTACTCATAGATAGGCCAAAGTATGTATCTTTATGAGAACAAAATAGAAAAATAGTTGACATCCTTGTAATTCAAACAAAAGTTAGTTTTTTTTAAATGAAAGTACATAGAAGAGTTGGCACACTTTTTGGGCAAAGCAGCAGATAGTAAATATTTTAGGCTTTGAGGGCCATACGGCCTCTGTCACAATTACTCAACTCTGCTGTTGTACCACATAAACTGCCATAAGCCAAACCAAATCCCTTGCCATCAATCCCACCCTACTTATGGCAATCCTATGTGATTCAGAGTAGAACTCTGCTTTGCAGGGTTTTCTTGGCTATAATGTTACGGAAGCAGATTATTAGGCCTTCTGTGGTACCGCTGGGTGGATTCAAACCACCAACATTTCGGTAATAGCTGAGAGCAAACGGTTTGTGTCACCCAGGAACCTTAAACAACCGTAACCCATTGCCGTTGAGTCGATTCTGACTCATAGCGACCTTACAGGACAGAGTAGAACTGTCCCATAGGGTTTCCAAGGCTGTAATCCTTATAGACAAGGAGCCCTGGTGGTACAGTGGTTAAAGTGCTCTGCTGCTAACCAAAAGGTTGGCAGTTCGAACCAACCAGCCACTTCATAGGAGAAAGACGTGGCAGTCTGCTTTCCTAAAGATCTATGGCCTTGAAAACCCTATGGGGGCAGTTCTGCTCTGTCCTATAGGGTCCCTATGAGTTGGAATCGACTAAACAGCAGTGGGTGGTTGGGTGGAATCTTTATGGAAGCCCGACTGCCACATCTGTCTCCTGTAGAGCGGCTAGTGGGTTTGAACTGCCAACCTCTCAGTTAGCAGCCAAGTGCTTAACCATTGCGCCACCAGGGCTCCCTAGACAACCACAGACAAAAGAATAGGCTTGGCTGTGTTCCAATAAAGCTTTATTTACGAAAACAGATGGCTGGCTAGATTTGGTCACCAGGCTGTAGTTGGCTGACGCCTAGCTTAAAATACACAAGTTCAACAAGAAGAGATGATGGCCAATTATATAAACTCTGAAAAGGGTTCTAGATCCTTTCAGAGAAGTTAGAGGTGGATTTCATTAATGTTTTTCAATGTTTGAAACTCATGTTTAGACACGATAGATTATCTTTCTGGTTCACAAATAAAAAGATTTTCCAAAGGAAAATATCTTCACTCATTCCCAGAAATGAAGTCTGTAGGGAAGGGTTGAGAGTTTTCTTCATTTGTCACCAAGTGCCTTCAGCCTACAATAACTTGGTTAAGGTCCAAGGCTGACTTGGGGCGGATTAGAGAGAGGTTAGCTAATATTTATTAGTTGTTTATAAATATTGATTTCTGTAGCTTCAGGTTTTATAATCAATTTAGTGATCAAATGTTGCAGAGGTGGGTAAAACAAACAGGGATGGTGAACCAAACGTCCTCTTAAATAGCTGTAGTTTATTATAAATTAGTAAATAATTCCCCAGAATCAAATAACAAATACAGATCATTCACTTGCTAAGTAAAATGCATTCTAACCATACAAATGGAGTGTGAGTCAGATCTTTTCTCAACTAACTTGAACTTTGAAGGCAAAGTACACTTAAACCTGTAAACATGGCATAGTCCCTTTCCCTCACAGAGTGAATTTCTAACATGATACATCTTTCTGATAGCACCTAAACCCCCTTATAAAGATGTGTTTTCCTGGTGTAACAGAAAGCATTCTCAAAATATGAATTATCTCAGAAGTCCTTACTTTAGTAATGGTTTATGGAATAAGTGAATTGTAGTATACTAAATGGTATATGCAATTTTTTCCCCCTGGGCACACATGGTAAGCTTGTTATGCTCACTATCAATTCAAATTAGATTTTTTTTTTGCATGAGCACTGTAAAAGAACCACAGTTATGAGTGGTGGTGTGCTTAATATCCAGTGTGAAGTTTTTTATATTCTTTAATGAGACTTATTCTATAATCAGTTATTTATAGAGGTTCAAATAAATCTTAACCTGTAATCACTTCTGTGCTTTGTGACTCAGACACCATCTAAACCCAGCTAAGGAATCAAAGAAATGAAAACTCCTTGGCCAGACATTTTTGTTAAGATGTTTTGAAAAAGGAAATTAACTGCAAAAGAAGAGACTTCTTAATTTTTTCTTTTTAACTGAAAAGATACTATGTAAAATATTTTTAAGTGACATTACTTTTAGGTTAAACTACTTTGACTAATTAAATAGCCTCGCTTGCTGGTAATTTTGGCTTAAATATTATAAATCTTAATCTCAGAACAAGAGATTAAGATAAACTTTTCTTAATGTTTGCTTAAGCATGCTGTTTAAAATCATTCTGTACCTTTAATAATACGAGACATGAGTATGATAAAAACTTCTAAGTGGTATTCCATGCAAATATAGGACAACTATGTCAAAACCCAAACCAAACCCGTTGGTGTTGAGTCGATTCCAGCTCATAGCAACCTTACAGGACAGAGTAGAACTGCCCCAATAGGGGTTCCAAGGAGCGGATGGTGGATTCAAACTGCTGACCTCTTTGTTAGCAGCCATATCTGTTAACCACTGTGCCATCAGGGCTCCAGCCATGTCAAAGAGCAAAGCAAATGTTCTATTTTAATAAGCATTTATTAAATATTAATAAATATTAAATATTATATTTAATCATGTCAATAGTCTCAGACCTATAACACAAAAGATGGTGATGTGAATGAGAAAGTAAACATTTCCTTCATCACAGCATATGAATTTTCTTGTTGAGTACTCAGTGTTATAAAGCATTGCTTCCCTGGCAATATAGTATATTCTGGGCCTTCACCTTCAAAATTAGCATTTACTAAGGGCATATCATGTGCCAGATATGATGCTAAGTGGTTGTAACAACAGTGAGGTAGTTATGTCTATTTTATATATGGGAATATTGAGGCTCAGCAATACTGCATAGGCTTAGTTTTATAAAAGGTCACAATAGTGAGTAGCTGGGCTCTAATTAGATGAGATCTTTCAAAGACACCACGTGTCTGTCAGTTTGTCCACTGTGGTGGCTTGCGTGTTGCTGTGATACTGGAAGCTTTGCCACCAGTATTTCAAATACCAGCAGGGTCACCCCTGGACAAGTTTCAGAGGAGCTTCCAGACTAAGACAGACTGGGAATAAAGACCTGATGATCTACTTCTGAAAAAACTGGCCAGTGAAAACTTTATGAATAGCAGCAGAACAGTGTCTGATATAGTGCTGGAAGATGAGCCCCTCAGGTTGGAAGGCAATCAAAATACAACTGGGGAAGAGCTGCCTCCTCAAAGTAGAGTGAACCTTGATGTGGATAGAGTCAAGTTTTCAAGACCTTCACTTGCTGATGTGGCACAACTCAAAATGAAAAGAAACAGCCGCAAACATCCATTAATAATCAGAATGTGGAATGTATGAAACATGAATCTAGGAAAACTGAAAGTATCAAAAATGAAATGGAACATATAACGATGGATATCCTAAACATTAATGAGCTGAAATGGACTGGTACTCGCCATTTTGAATTGGACAATCGTATGGTCTACTATGCTGGCAATGAAAAATTGAAGAGGAGTGGCATGTGCATTGTCAAAAAGAACATTTCAAGATCAATTCTGAAGTACAACACTGTCAGTGATAGGAAAATATCCATACCCCTACAAGGAAGACCACTTGCCTTAGTTATCTAGTGCTGCTATAACAGAAATGCCACAAGTGGATGGCTTCAACAAACAGAAGTTTATTGTCTCACAGTCTAGTAGGCTACAAGTACAAATTCAGGGCATCAGCTCCAAGGGAAGGATTTCTCTGTTGGCTCTGGAG